CTTTTGTAGGTTATTTGTTAGGAAGTTAATGATTTTTTTATTAGAATCTATGAATTTATAATTATGTTTGTTAGTTATTTTATTTATTATGAATTGAAGTGTTGAAGCTAGTCTTAAATCTATGTTTTTTATGACTGAGTTTATTCCTGATGTGATTGTTCTAAATGAGATTGGTGTTTTATGTAATTTAGGAATAATATAAAATTTCGGTATGTTTGTGTTTTTGTTGTAATTAATGATTTTTAGTGTGTTTTCTACATTTTTAATATCTTTTTTGATTTTAGTTTCAGTTGTTTTTATGAAAGTGTATTTACTGTTGTTATTAATTTCATTTTTTAGAAGGTCATGATATAAGTTTTTACATATAATAGATAAATTATTTGAACATTTATCTATTGGACATATGATAAAATCTTTTTGTAAGTTTTCAAAATTGTCTTTTAAGGAATTAATTTCCGATTCATTAGGGTATGTGTATTTTAGTGTGATGTTATAATAGTTTTTTATTTCTTTACTTAATTTATATTTCCATTCTAGGAAAGTAAATTCAGGAATTCTGTGTTTTATACTAGTTTTATTAATGAATATATCGATGTCTTTTAATATAGATTTAATTGTATTATTGAAATTGTGTTTGATCTGAGGTATATATTTATATCCTCTTTATATATATATATATATATATATATATATATATATATATAAAGAGACAAAGGTCGCCTCTCCCGTCAAAATAGATGTCAAATCTAGACGCCATCTATTGACCGCCACCGCAAACTAGCGGTCTCGGGTCGGTGACAAAGCCACAAAACCAGCTTTGGCAAACTGAAAAGCGTCCATCTTAAGATTCCATTAGATCCCGTGTGGATCTCATGGAGTAAAGTCCGCCCTAGACTGACGAGGGCCATTAGCCCGAGACCATGGTCTCTAGGTGGACGCTTTTCAGTTTGCCAAAGCTGGTGTTGTGGCTTTGTCACCGACCCGAGACCGCTAGTTTGCGGTGACGGTCAATAGATGGTGTCTAGTTTTGACGTCTATTTTGACGGGAGAGGCGACCTTTGTCTCTTTAAATCAATATCCTCCTGGCAAAATTTCCATCTATAAATATATTTTTTTAAATCAAATATTAATCAATGAAATCTCAAATATCGAATTATAAATTAGATAAATAAAATATCTCCCCCCATCATAAAATATAACTGCGGGGCTATCACAGAGTTTCAGAAAGTTCATACACCAGTTCAGCCTAAGATATTTCGACAGGAAAGCCGAAAATGGCCAATCTGGGCCTGAATGTTGGGTTTGAAAGGACTTCAATGACGTCAATGTTGGCGGCCTTAATTCCGTCCACAAACCGCTTCGATTCAGCTGCAGTAAGGAAGTGAAGGACGTGTTTTTGCCCTTTCCAGTTACATCACAGCTCTTGTTTGTGGCGTTTTGGAGATCTTGGCTCTAATGGCCTCAAAAGACAAGTTTTCAGAGGCGATCTAAACTTGATTTACAATTTATTTTTTTAGGCTATGCGCACTGGAACGTTGAACGCACTGGCCCTCTAGGTTGTACAGATGTTGGGTGGGTTTTAGGTGAGATGGTGGTAGTAGCTACGGTGGTAGCGGGTTTGGGAGGTGAGGGAGTCATGGCCTGTTACCAGGCTTGATCTATTATTGAGCAGGGCTATCTTTTGTTCAAGGGACATTAAATATTTCTTTAACACTATTAGAACTTCTGTTTGCAATGCATTGAAAACTCGGTGGATGTCATCTTCAACCGATTCAATTAAACCAGTAAGCGTTGTTGTAGGGAGGCAACGATTCACTCTATCTTGCTTTAGGTTTTATCAAAAAGAGAATATCTTTCCAGCAGTCAATGTGACTCGTGTTGGTGTTAGGTTGAGTAGAAAAGGGGCCTTGGGGATCTTTCCCTGTGATGTCTTATCCACAAGAGTGGAAGCATCCATGACACAGGTCCAGAAATTGTAAATGGCTGTAATGGGAGAAAAGGCTCCTTCCCGTCAGCTGACATGGCCCGCGACTGCAGGAGAGTATGCAGCATTTTATTTTGGCTGCTAACCTGTTTGAATCATGAACAAATATGTCGACCCCCCAAAAAATGACGGCCACAAAGCGAACAATATCTCGGATTCAATATACTCTGATAATACTATATACAAGGGTCACTCCTAAAGTTTTTCCAATCACCTATTTTTATTAAAGCTGCAACTTTCAAATTCTCGTAGTGTCTCAAAGTATTCACCTTTAGTACCTATGCAAGATTACATCCGTGAAAACCAATTATCGAAGCACTTACACCAGTCATCTTCCGGGATGGAATTTACGGCATTGATAAAGGTTTACAGTGCTTCATCATCAGTGTCAAATATTATCCTTTTCAACAATAACTTAACTTTTGGAAATAAAAAGTCACAAGGTGTTAGGTCTGGTGAATATGGTGGATGAGTGACTAATTGGACACCAGAATTGGCTGAAAATCTATTGTTTGGGCTGAGGTGTGCGGTCTTGCATTATCATGATGAAGAAGGGCTCCTCTAAGTTGATTTCTTAGTCTGCTTCACTTGATTTTTAAAAATATACTGCTGGATTTTGTTGTATACCAGTCAAATATTAACTTTCTATCGATCTTCTAACTTCACAATATCAATAAAACCACTTTTTCTAAAAAAAAAAAACCAGCGACCATTTGTTTTCCAACACTTTCTTAGGAGGAGGTTTTATGAAGAGCACAAAAGAGTAGATTGCCGTTTTGTTTCTGGATCAAAATTGTAAATCCAAGTTTCGTCACCTATTATTATATTAAATACAGCCTTTTATTTGCCTTTCTAATTTTTTTCAACGTGAAATTACACCATTTAATGCGACCAAATTTTTAATCTTTGTTCAACATGTGAGGTATCCATCTACTAACAAGTTTTCTGTATTCTAAATGGTCATTAATTATGGCATTGATCGCTGCCGATCCAAGGCCCACACTTTTCTCTAGCTGATGATACGTAATTCTTCGATCTTCTCTAACTAAAAATATTACCAGCTCTATTTTTCTTGGGTCACTGCTGTTGGTGGTCGACCTGAACGAGGTTCATCTTCAAGGTTAGTTTTCCAAATTTAAATTCCTTAAACTAAATAAAAACTAAGAAAAAGGCATCTCCTTATCGTGCAACTGAAAGTTGCTAATGGCTTGCGCCATCTATCGGAATAAATATCAACTATTCTCGTTGATTTTTAATTATTCCAGAATTGGCCAAATACCCATTCTTTATTAATCAAGAAAAGCTAACCACGGACGCGTTTCGGGCTGTTGGCCCTCATCAGCGTGGTGCAAGCTGTACCTCAACGACAAAAAAAAATAATTTGGTCATTAAGGCATCTTGAAAAATCATGAAACGGGTAGTTAAGGCCAGAATTGCGTGAGAACGCATTAAACACATGCCTTAATGACCAAATTCTTTTTTTTTTTTGGTCGTTGAGGTACAGCTTGCACCACGCTGATGAGGGCCAACAGCCCGAAACGCGTCCGTGGTTAGCTTTACTTGATTAAACAAGAATGGGAATTTGGCCAATTCTGGAATAATTAAAAATCAAAGAGAATAGTTGATATTTATTCCGATAGATGGCGCAAGCAATTAGCAACTTTCAGTTGCACGATAAGGTGATGCCTTTTTCTTAATTTATGCACCTTATCCCAGTACAATATTACATTTGTAATGTTTTTTCACATAAATAAAAACTGTTCTAATAGAAGGAGCTTTATCTCCTAAAGCTCTCTTCAATCTTTCATGGGATTCTTTAAGAAGTTAAATTACTTTTAAAATCATAAAAGAATCTGGGGCGTAAACTTTCTTTAGACATCTCCATTGTGTCTCATGCAATGTTTAGAAATTACCGTAAAAAGGTCGCGCTCTCTGTATATCATTGTTGTTACTATTTCATGGAAATGTTTATATTAGGTGTAAAATACATGTTTATATTAATAAGGTAATTTATTTTTAAAATTTTTAATTATTCACAAAATAGTGATTGCAAAACATCTTGGAGTAACCTGTGTATTTTACATTTAAAAAAATATATATTATACATGAATAAATGATATTTTTTTTGAATGAAAAAAAATATTAGTTTTCTTACAAAAAAAAAGTATTCATGTCATTATTATTTATTGTTGATAAGAAAGAAAAGTGTGGCTCTTTGAAAACTTTGAAATTAGTAAATTGTAATTTTGGTTCTCTTCCGACTCAAAGTTTGCCGACCTCTGGCCTATACTATAAAATAGATAAATTGGGGAATCCCCAGCCTGGAGTATGTTTGTGTGTTTGTTAATATTAAATATTAGCTTCCAGTCAACTTGAAATATTGAATGTATTAGATATTTAATTCCCAAAATATAGAGGTAAGGTTTTATTACAACAATATAATATTTCTCAAATAGATCCAAAATATTGACGTTTAAAGTATTGAATCCTGTTGATAAAATATAGAGTGTAGTGAGGAATTACGTTTTAATCATATTATCATCATCCAGATATTTATCTCGCTGAAATAGACTAATATAACAGAACTAGACGAATGGCCCGGGCAACGCCCGGGTTTTACCCGAGTGCGTATATATTTTAAAAACGTTTTAATTCAAATGCTATTCGTTACAATTATAAATTGGCGCCATGGATGTCACTCTTGTGAAACGTCCCGTTCCAAACTGTGTGTTTTTAAAATGTTTTAATTAAAATACTATTCGTTACAATTATAAATTGGCGCCGTGGATGTCTCTCTTGTGAAACGTCCCGCCCCAAACTGTGTGTGTCTTGAAAATATAAAAATAAAAATGTGAATTTTCATAAAGATTTCATCATGTCGATTTTTTTTTTTCATTTCACCTACTAAATCGATAGAGATAATTACATTTGCAACATGAACTTAGGTATATTGACTAAATAGAAAACTGCATAGTAATAAATTAACTTTATATTAACTTTATGAACGGAAAAATATGTCCAGTGTTCCCTAGTGGTCATGGCATCTGCCCGGTAAGCGGAAGGTCGTGGGTTCGATTCCCATCCCTTGACACTTTTTTTATTTTATCCATTCTGACCAAAATCTATCCGTGAACTTCACACAGTGAACTTCACACAGACAGAATAAGGCAATTATATAAGTAGATTATTTTGTTTCCGAAAATTAAAAGACATGAACATAAATTGAAATCCAGCAATTAATAATTTTTCTTCTGAAAGATGATATATAATTTAGTGAATAAACTTCCATTAAAAAAAAAAAAACTAAACACATATATTCATTCTGAAGATGATTTGTTTATTTCAAATAAGTTGGTCTTCAAAATATTCTATTTATAACAATCAAGTGATATCGTTTCTAAATGAGAAGTAATACTTTTATGAGAGAATAACCAACCTATTTATTATATTTCATAAATTATTCTAATATTTTAATGTGAATGTAAATTTATATTTGTAAATAATATATTGTGAAATTGATGAACTTAAAAATTATGATTCCATCAATTTTCAAAAATATTCTCAGAAAATTGAAATCAACATGCTATATATGAACATCGAAAGCATATAGCATAATTGCTTGTTTAAAATTTATCATGTGAAAAAACTTCGTAAAGGCAAATTTCATCGAAATAAAATATTTGATAAAGTACCTTATTCAAATTTGAGGCAAAGCAATTTATTATCATCAAGAACCAAATATAATTTCTATGGAACATTATTAAGTTTCCACATGTTAGAGGTCAGGAATATGGTCAATAAATCCAGAATACCTGGGGTTCAATAACAAACACCATTCCACACAACAAACTGTTTATCTATATATAAGATGTTGGAGAAGTCAGGTAGGGATTTCTCTAATTTAAATATTACGTTTTCAAATCTCCGATAACATAAGAAACTGAAGTAATCCAAATAAATAAGAAGATCTCACATGTATCGACTGACACAATCTACTTGTCAGCTGGACAGATTCTCTTTACTAAGTCTTATATAGCCAGACGTTATCACGTGACAACTGATTGGTTGGGTTGATGGAAGTCTATTGAAGCTGTTCCGCCTTGTCTTTTAGCGGAAGATCTGTGAATAAATTCAAATTACATATAATGGAGTACGCATTCAAACGAACATTTATATGTATGTAAATAAATATCAGAAGTTGTATAACCCAGCTATCGGATATCTGGAGAGATACAATTTGAATCTGAAGAAGATTAAACAAGAGACAGCTGCTCTAATAAGTAAGGAAATGTTGAAGAGGTAATTAAAAATCAAAAGCTAACTAAATTACTGAACACCACTTGTAGCATATACTCTAATAGATATGTGTTAATAAACTGCAACTCAAGGATTATTCATACCAAGGATTATTCAATAAGGTTCCAGTTTCTCACAACCTACAATTGTCTGGATTACCTATGATGCTTGAAACCTTTAGACGTTTTCACTTGTTTCTAACCTATTGTTGTGTGATACCTATGACTTGAAGGAATGAGGTTCAAATGGAGGTTTCGAGATTTTGGAAGCTAGATTTCTTAACGTGAAATATTATTTTAGAATTATTTACACCACCAATCATATGTTGGATAAAATAAAATTCAAACCATGTGAATACCAAAGATGAAGAGGTGACAATAGTGATATGTTGACCATAAAGTCTGAATTCTAGGCTGCTGTGTGTAACAGACGTTCCAGATGGGGAGCGGCGCGGTCTGACATCGCTGCGTTCCAGCTCTACTAACGGCGGTGTTGCAGGATCTAGCTAGTGACTATACAGTACTGTGACAGCGGTTAGGGAGGTCTACCTTCCTGAGTGTTGTCAGAGTACTGTATATCTAACCCCCTCTGTGTAGATTTCACGTGGAGCCCTCACCCTTAACACATTTAGGTAAATGTCTTTCTTTAAGCCCTCTCTCTCCATACCTCACCGAGTCCCTTTTTTATAACTTGGCCTTTACGCTGGGGGTATGGGATAAGTTATCTCTTACGTGTTGTAGATATTGAAATAAATAATTAAGCCTATCTTTAATATTTTATATCGATTATTTTTTAGTATTTCTATTTAGAGGTATATGATGCTAACGTATAATCACAAGGTTAAAAAAAAATCAGTTTCCATCAGTTCCTTCTGTAGTATTTGAGATGTGTATTGCCATGTTACAGAGCTACACCACATGGTAGAATTAAACCAAGAGATGGTGGAACCAGCGAGAATTCTATAAAGTTCATTATATCTTAAGTGTGTCAAAGTGGCAATGTCTGAGGAACTCAATACTCTTTGAAGTATTGACAAGAGGAAATATAAACTGGTGAACAAAAGTGGCTGTTAGAAGATGAGTGTCAGCATTATCCTGCTCATCAAGTATAAAACAATATATAGTGTCGCTACATATCTCTGGCTCCAAGAAAGGTTTTTCTTATTTTCAAGATGTTTTAATAACCAGTACAATGTTATACTTTGAACTTGAATTTCTAGTCTTTTTCTGCAGGAATCAAATGTTAAGCCAATGTTAGTGAGGAATCCTGATTCTTTTGATAATTGAAATAAAATAAAATTGTACTAATTTGATATTTATCATTGAAATAACTAGATATATTTTAATAATATCTTTCTTCAGTCAATTTTGAAAACAAAGATTTTTTCAGGTATTTGGCAATATTTGTGGCTTAAAGATCCTGAGCTGGATATTCTCGAATATATTAGCAATGGAATAAAAATATCAAAATGTTTATCTTTATTTACATATATTTTATATGTAAATAAAAGTTCTCGAAACTTTAAACGTTAATAAGTAACTTCGTCTTAATATACCCAAAAACTTTAGATGAAGACATATACGGTATATATGAACATAATTTTCCGACTTGCTACCTAACAATGGAATATTGTCTTCTCATGTAGGTACCTGACAGATGCAAATACTTTTACCTTCTACTAATAGTTTGATGTATTTGAGTGTTGAAAGGTAAATATAACTACAATCTGGATACGTACCACTACGTATCTACAATATCACAATGGCACAATGTACAAAGGCAGCTGCGTCTACGTAGATATGCTTTGCTGTCCTGGTATTGAGCAGCGGAGCAGGGCCCGCCAGGTCGTGGGCACGCACTCCTCTCTACATTTGAGGGAACCTGCGGACGACGAGGCCAGGTTCAGGAGAAATGTTCCTACAGCAGCCGAGGGATAGCACCCGGAAACAAGGGGCCAACCAGACTCCGCCAGCCAGGAGTTCTTATTTTCAGCCTTTCTTCAGCCTGGAATCATCGAAGCTGGCGAGCTGGAGTTAGGTTCTGATGTCCAATAACCTCAGAACGCTGCTGGTCAAGATTCCGAATAAACCGCGATAGTCTTTAAATAAATTAAACAAAAATATAAGATGAATTCTTTTAATTTTTTACTAAACACACACACCCACTTTATTTATCTATAATTGAGTACTTGAGTACTATTTGCATGTATGTTTGAACCAGATTGTCTTATAAACGGTTGAACCAATTTTGTTAATATTTCACATACATATTTTGAAAATTAGGGTAGAATAAACAGGCCTTTGAAAATTACAATTATGAATAAATTTGAGATCTATATAATGGACTAAAATATTCATATTTTCATTGAATCTCGCAATGAAAGGCCCAGGTGTAATTGGAAGTTGGTATTCCCGGTTGTAGAAGTCGACATTGTGTTTTAAAATGCTCTCCACACAAAATCTTTGTCTAAAACAAAATATCAAATTAAAAGACATTAAATTTAATATGCAAGTGGTTAAAATTCACATAGTTTATTCAAGTGGTTAATATTTATTTTTATGGCAAAGTGAACACAGTAACAAAGGTTTGGTTCTTTGAAAATGAGAAATCGTGTTAAATAGTTTATTTTATTTCAAGGTTCTCAAATTGTGGACACAAAGTACATAGACACAGTAAGCACAAAGTAGATACACATTCACTATACTGAGGATGGGGCACAGATAAGACTTCACTATATTTATACAGTGTCTTAATCACATATACATATACCGAACCAGAAACAAAGTCACACCGAGTGGTACGTCCAGGTACCAGCAACAACCTACTTTCTATCCCCTGGAAGGTTTCTTCTGTTTCAGCGTCCGTCGCGCAGTCAAATCAGACACGCGCTCAGAACTTAGGAAGAGATATCTTTCCAAATATATGCTAGTCTACATCCAACAATTTGTCAATTATTTAGTGTAACATCGATAGGATCACATGAGGTCGAATAAATCCTGAAAATATCATATATTCAGCAAGCTCAAATCAAGCTCTACAAGAAACAAAACTTTTTTAATAACACAACCTGAAACTTGTAAACTATCGCATTCTCAGAAAATACCGTTTCAATAAAAAGATAAATAAAAAATGAGAGGTGGACTTGCCCCTGTCAACAGAAACCTATCCTATAGCGAGATAAACTTCTCTTCCCCACCATCAGGTTCTTTAGAATTCCAAGGAATTAAAATAATAAAAAAATCACAATTCAACATCTTCAACCTCTATCATCCTCCAGATAACTCTACCAAAGACGACCAATTCTTCCACAACAAACTCCTCCTTGAAAATCAATCCTCCTTGACGATATAGAAGCCAAGAATACCGTCTGGGTCTTCACCCGAAATAAAATATTTAATAAATAAAAAAAAACATAAAAACATTTTTATTTAAATGCATTAAAAAGGAATAAGTATTTTTTTTTAAATTCTTTAATCGAGAAATTCGATATATCTGAGTGAAAATAAAAGCGGCGGGGGGCGATCTTCATGAATTTCGAACCTAATGTGATTTAATATGTAGCAGCTGATTAGCGATTTTTATAAGTGTTTGCTATATTTTTACCTCTTCTCTAAATATGTTGGTCCCCTGCCGCTCTTATAATAAATTCGGGAATCCCCACCCTGAAGTATGTTTGTTTGTTAATATTGAATATAATACCGTAACAGAGTTTTCCATTGTAAAGTCCTGAGCTATCTCCTCCGAAGATTCTGAACTACACATAACAATCTATATACCAAAATTTTCGTTATTTTT